GGCCCCACCGCGCCGCCCATCCGTCCCCAGACTGGATGCCCATCCGCCCAGCGCGGTCCGCCCACGGTGCGCTGTTCGAGCCCGAACGCACGGGCGCATCGCTGCGACCGCCGGCCGCCTGCAGACCTTGGTCCGTCGGACGGCGTCGCATTATGCACATATGCAGCGGCGCAACGGCGCGGGGTCGCGCCTTCCGCCTCGTCCCCGCTCGGGGCTCGGCGTCTGGGCTGTCCCCCGCCTGTGACGTCACGGAGGACCGCTGGGCGCCGCAGTGCCTCGGGCCGTTGCAGACGTGCAGTGGCGGTCGCTCGCTCGGTCGCCGAGTATAAATGAGGGGGGCAGGAGGGGCCGGGGCAGAGCTGCTGGACTCCACAGTGCAAGGTGGGTGTGCAGGGACATGGTGCCGGCTGCCGGCGCCGCGTCGCGCCCCGTGCGGGAGAGAACCCGCCACTCGGGGCAGAGGCAGGTACTGTCGCAGCAGCGGTGCCTGGACGGCCGGAGCATCAGGCGCTTGTTGCTCTTTTTTGTTTGGAAATGAGTTATTTTCAATGCTGTTTTTTCTCATCACTGCCATAGTAACCATAGATCATAATGGATGTTTGTGGTTTAAGTAAATTCGCGGCTACATTGTATTTTACATAGTTGATTTCACACTTCAGCTGTGGCTTATTTGCCGGCTATCAGTAGGTCTTGGGCCAACAACAAAGCAGACTATATACGGGTCAAAGCCTGCTTATGTCCCATCCCAACATTGCAAGGAGAACAAGCACGCAAACAAACTATTGCAATGAATGCTATCGTATTAAGGAAGTCATAGGTCGGCAATAGCATGCAAAGCATAGCATGCAACATTAAGGGAATAGCATGGCACACTGCGACATGCGATGTAACGTTGCATTTGGCGTAGTGGAGTGAAGAATGAACAGTGTGAATCATGGAGCGGATGGACCAAGGGCTTCTGTTACGTGTGGCTAATGATTGTACTACTAGATCATTTCGTAAATTCACCGAATACTGATTTCAAACTATGTCTGGACGGCGCTGTATGTTGAATCACCGTTTTGATGTGGTTCAAAGTGAATTTGGAAGGTAGCTCACGTTTTATATTTTGCATGCAGGCTTAGGGTGCAGCACGCGGCAGCCGTGCAAAATGTTCGTTTTTTCCTGGTCATGTGTTCTTTCTGAGTACGCAGTGCACCCACACATTTCCGGTTTCTTGCAAATGGTGCTGGTCGGTTTAAGCATTCTGGGTTTATAAGTGAAACTGTGCCCCGTCTGCTTCAATACATGATCAATTCTCAAATACTGCTGTAAATCATCTGTTGCTAACTGCCCTTTTGCAAAACTTATTAGACCTTATCTTGGTGTTCACTGTTTATTTTGGAAAACGTTGGATCAAAAATAAGTGGTCCGCATGGGTAATACCAAATTATCGTGATATGGCCAGTACGCCTTCAAGGACAAGCCGCCTTTGCGTGGGACTACTTTGTTTCTCTCACTAACGCTTCAATTTATTTTCGTATACGCTAGTACGTACAGATACGCTTATGAACGATCCAAACGGTCAAACCATTTAAGTTTATTTTTCCATATCAATTTGTGATAAAAGGGTTCATGCTAAATATTAATCGTGTGTGGGTTCTCGCAAAGCCCCCCCCCCCCCCCCCCCCCCCCCCATACCACAATCTCCTGCGTCGGTCGTTTACAAATTGGCTTGCCTGACGCGTTTTTCTCACCTGAGGGCAGCGTTCGCTTGGAGTCCACAACTACCTCATTATAAAAAACTTCGTAAAGAAATGGATTAATAAGCAAGTGAAGGAATACTCAGAGCGGTTCAATATAAATACCACCGAAACATAAAACAAAGCAATGTGTGCGTTTGCCATAAAAACAACCGCACATCCGTCCCGGTGACGCAGTTGGTCAGAGCGCCTGCCTTCCAATCCACCACCCGTGGCGGTATTGGTTCGAGTCGCTTTAGGCGCTCGTTGTTTTTTCCCGACAGAAATGATCTGCGGCCGGTGACAGCGGTCGCGCTAGAGGTCAGGTGGCGTTACAGGACAGGGCGGACCGTGCCGAACATTGTGGAACGTAAAACGTTCACCATCAAATTCCGCTGCTGACTTGAATTCGCACGATCGGATGGTAGCGGTCAGGGCTCACACCACAAGCGCTGCTCAGCACGAGCTCTGATTCTAGAAGTTCATCCATTCAAAAGGTTCGGGCTAAATAATAGAAAAAGAGACCAGCGTCGGATTGAATCGATGTGACGCATACGGCAAAGAGCGTTCTTTTTTGTCCGTAGTTATTTCCAAACCATCCCCGTGACAATAGCGTCCCCATCTACCTGCGTCATCTCTCTTCTTACGCCACGCAGGGCAGCTGAACTGATCATGTAACTGCGGTCAGCGGCCTGTCAGGCAGGGTGGCTGAGTTGGCTTTCCTCCAGCCATGGTCTCGTCATGAAGTCCCGGCGCGCGGCTTCTCCCTGCTCTGCCGGCTGGCAACAGCTTGCCCTGCGCCTCCTCCGGGTGGGCGCCCGCCGTCTCGTGGAAGCGTCGAGGGCAGTGGCAGACCGGGGCGGTATGGGATCCGGGCTCCGCGCCCAAGGTCAGCATGCGATCAGGGCCGCCCAGCTTCATGGCCGGCCCTGCCGGGCGGCCCGATGGGTTGTCCCCCGAGGATGATCTATGTGCAGATTTGATCGCACGCAGACCGAGGGCATTCCTGGCCGATGGTTTTGCACACGACGCTAGAAACACGCGCCACTGAACGTCGTCTGCCTTCGGCTTCGATCGCGGTGGACAGAAGCCAGGTATTTCCATGGTGGATTTTGAATGTCGTTGGCGTTATGCACACGAGCTTTCGCGTTGTTATTGATTTATGTTGCTGCCAGGCAAGTTAAGATGGCGTGGTCACGAACTTCAAGACGGCATTTCTGACCGCCAAATTTTCGTGCATAATTTCTACGGCTGAAGGGCACCCGGCTAAGAACCACGACAGTGCATGCACCCTGTGATCGAGAATTCACGAGGGAATCGAAGGCCATGCCCGGACCTGATTTTTACTGATAAGACGGCTTGTCGAAAGGTGACCATTAAAACGCGGAAGCAGCCGGCTCGCCATCATAAACATAGACGTCTTTTTCTATGACCATCGTCTTTACCTGCGGCCCATCATACCTCTCGAGGGGCGGGCGCGAACAGATGGTGGGCGAGGCAGAAACGGTCCGACTTCCAATGAGCACGTGACGGCGGATCGTCTGGCATGTTTGCGGCGCACCCGCGGCTGCCGTGAGGAAGGTCAGGCCGACAGCGAGATGAGGGTTCCGACCGGGCAAGGCGTCACCGCCCACTCGTCCCCCCCCCCCCCCCGGGACGTGGGCGGTAGAAACGCGATTCACCGCCGCACCAGGTGTGCGCTGGCGGGGCTTTCAGGAGGTTCACTGCCGAAGCGGTCGTAGGAGGATGGTGCCAGCCGCGCTGTCGGATGTGTGGGAAACAGGGGAACACGACGACAGTTTATATTCTTGAGACTTCGTTAGCTCCGAAAACTTTCATTGAAACGTAACACTTGTGTATTACAGGTGCCGGAAGCATCGTCATATTCCGTAAGAGCTGGCTCATGATGTGGGGTGGGGTGTTTTGTCGTACAGATCCAATATCCATATCCTTGATTGCATAATTGATCTGTATAAGGCCCTTCAAATGCAATGCTGCATTTTTGGGTGGGTAGCTGCATTAAAGCACAGATAGAGAACTGAGGCAGCCAGATTATAGCATAAGCAGAGAACTGAGGTGGTTAGATCATATTACACATAAAGAACTGAGGTGGTCAGATTATAGTTTACAGGGAACTGGGATAGCCAGATTGTAGCGCACATCAAGAGTTGAAATAGCCAGATCTTGGCACATACAGAGAACAGAAATAGCTAGATCATAGTACACAAATATGCATTCAAAGCCATAGCTTTAGTAAGGCCTAAAATACCAAAGTCCCGGGCTGCAGTTTTTGTTCCGACAGCTCCATACCAGCCATGTATACCACCAACTCCATCAGAAATGGCAGCGCTGTCAGTCAACGGCCCGCTCGCGCAACCGCCGTTCTTCCGTTTGTTTGTTTTTGGTTTTTTGTTTTGGTTTTTGTTTCGTTTTTTGCTTCGGGACCGAAACTGAACAGCGTTGTCCACCACAATTATAAATATTCTGCCCATTGTTTTGTGAAATCATGGTGCAAAATAAAGGGGATGGTGGTGAAAATGGCTCTCCTTTTACGCAACATTATGTTTTGCTATCCTGTTTACCCTCTAGATGGAACATTTTCTGTAAAGACCAAACGCTTTGACAAACTTTCTACCAAACGATTATGATTGCACTGATGCTTCAACCAGTGCTCATCCGCCATCGTAATGGGCAAGAACCTCGATGACAAATTATGCTGGGAACATCTCAGCCACCTTCACGTGCGTGTGTTTACAGCAGAGAACTGCGTTAGAAGTTCTGTTTCTGTTTGAAGTCCACGAAGCTCAAGTTCGTTTTTTTTTTGCTCGGCAGCTCAGCCATGCGTCCGTCCCAGCTGGTATCGATGCTGCTGCTGCTGGGCCTGCTGGCCCAGACCAGCGGCCTGCTGCTGGCAGCCGGCGCGCTGGCCGGCGGCCTGACCCTGGCCGGCGGGCTGGGAGGCTTGGTCGGCCTCAAGCTCGTGGCGTTGAAGGCAGGCCTCGTCGGCGGCTTCATCGGCAAACGTCTGGGCAGGAAGTTCGGCCGCAAGCGCTACCACTACGCCCCCACCTACAGCTACGGCCACGGCGGCGGCCATCACGGCGGCTACGGCGGCGGCCATCACGGCGGCTACGGCGGCGGCCATCACGGCGGCTACGGCGGCAGCCATCACGGCGGCTACGGCGGCGGCCACCACGGCGGCTACGGCGGCGGCCACCACGGCGGCTACAGCAGCTACAGCAGCTACGGCGGCCAGGGCGGACACGGCTACCACCGCAGGCGGCGCGACGTGGCGGCGGAGCTGCCGCTGGAGGAGTACTTCCAGCTGGTGGCGGCGGCGGACGTGCGCGGCTGTGGATTGAAGCTGGTCTGTGAGCTTGAAGCCACCGACCCGAGCCTGCTGGCCGACGACCAGCGGCTGATCCTTGCGCTGTTTAGGTACGCACGGGCCTGTCGGCTCTCCCCAGACATGGCCCAACTCTGCTGCGCTCTGGCTCGGACCCGTTCGTGCCAGACAAATTGTCTTCTGTGTATGTATGTATGTATGTATGTATGTATGTATGTATGTATGTATGTATGTATGTATGTATGTATGTATGTATGTATGTGTGTGTGTGTGTGTGTGTGTGTGTGTGTGTGTGTGTGTGTGTGTGTGTGTGTGTGTGTCTTTTGTCTTTTGGAAATGTCTGAAACGAATACCGTCATGATCTTTTTCGGGCAGCGTTTACAGCCACACCAAGGAAATGGGATTCGGGCATTGTCCTAAACTTGCAACGGGGCATAGACATTGGGCACATAACAATTTACGCTGTTGCACATTGTCTGCCAGTGTGTTGAGCCAAACCGCCGCAGACGGGAGACGAAAGCGTTGCTCCCAGATACTACAGATAAGCGTCGGTCCATCGGCCTCGTCGCTGACCACAGACTGTCGCGTGCCATTGCAGGGACGCCGTGCTGCCGCCAACCAAGGAGGTGATGGAGAGCAGCGCCAAGGCCCAGTACGACATGGCGGCGTTCCTGGGACGCTCAGGCCGAAGCACCGCGTGTCAGGCGTTGTACCAACGCAACTGTCCGTACACCGTTGACCAGCTGATGGAGGCGTTGCGTTCAGTTGATGAGCAGTAGCTGGCGACATCTGTCGTCAGGGATGCGCAGCAGAGCTGGTGACTCAGTCCGATAGGGGTGGGCAGTGTTCATGAGGTCCGCCCGCTGGTTCGGTGCACGGTCGGACCTGGCTCACTAGGCACTCAAGCATCAACCTTTTTTCATTTCCCTGTATGTTACCTGTGCTGTCTGTGTAAGCATGCTGTGTACGCGAATTGTTTACGCCAATACCTGTAGCTTTTCCCTTGGATCTCCTGCCGACGTTCAACAGGGGTCATATGTGAATACATTCATCGAACTGCCAAATAAAAGAACGCCAAGCGCTTAGTACTGACGGCGAACATTTGTGTTGGCAAGCTCAGAGAGTTAAACATTGGTCTGCCAACATCGGACAGGTTTCAGTTCCGAATGCGGTTTCCGTTCTCGTTGTATTTGTTTGCTGGTATCCTTCGGAGTGGGACGAGTATCAGTGGGCTCCCACCGGCAATCATCAAACTGTCGAAAAGCGGCTCAATCTAAGCATCTGTCTTGACGTGCACGGTTGTGTTCGGTCTCTTTTCTCCTATTCTTACACGTTCTGCTGAGAACCGGCACCAGTTTCCCATAGTGAGCCCGTGTTTCATCACATCGGCGCCAAAAAGCCTGCCCACATATTGCGTTAAAGGTGCCACCACACCGCTGCCCAGCATACTCATTGAGGCGGTGACGTCAAAGCCCGAAGTGAAATAAAAAGTAAAACATTGAATTACCTCGGGTTATATATACATACATACATATATATATATATATATATATATATATATATATATATATATACATTATCTTTCTATCTGTCTGAATATAACAGAATCCAAGGCTGGAGTTTGTGTTTTGTCTCAACTGTATGAAAAGGCAAAAAATGGCTGCGATGACTATGCCATACTGCGAATTCACAGCTGCATTAAAAAGATAGGTACGCACACGCCTGCTAACGAAAAAAAGGTGTAACTACAAGGGTCGGGCACATGTAAATGCAACTGCTGGGCCTGACTGGAAATGCATGCATCTTACGTTATATTGGTTATACTGGATACAAAAATTACTAAAGGAGAAGAGCCAACTAGCAACGCTCCTCGTGTGAAGGCCATAAAGTAGGTAAGCAACGAAGACCGTGAAAAGTCAGACAGCCAATAGGCGTCCCCGTGGTCTGGTGAAAACGTGCTGGACTTGATACACTGGCTGACTATCCTGCAGGACTGTACATATGCTGGTCCCAGAGCGGACGCACTGTTTGGCCCGCTGGCGAGAAAGTCAGCTGACGACTGGCCAGAGAGGGACCCCGGGGCGGCCTGTGTGGCAGCGTTGTGCGGCGCGGAGAACTCTCCGCGGCTGAGTGTAGCGACAGGGCAGACGCAATATTATCTTTGGAACCGAACGGTGCGATGCGGGGGCTAGGCTCCGGCACGTAGGTAATTCAAACATGAGGCAACACGCGCAAACTATTCGGGAAAAAGATATCACGAGAAGCAGGTATTTCCTACCGGGGAGGGCAGCTGTGCTCCCAAGGCACAGTGCGAAGGGTCTCCCGCCTGCTGAGAAAGGAGCTGGAGCCCCTGAGTCCCTTGGGTGTACCACTGCCCATGGCATACACAAAAATTGCCCATTTGGCTGCTGTTGTGCACGAACGCTAGACATTCATCCCTATTTTTATGCGATGAATACCGCTTGAAATCTGTGCCAGCTGGGTGATTAAGCCCTTGTGGGGGTCAGGGGCATCGCCATGGCTAGGAATATCTCATCCATTGAACCGAGTCTTGAAATTTTGAGCCTTTGGTGTAATCAGCTTCTGTACACCAAATTCACAACTTTCTGTAAAACAAATTTGAAAAACTGTAGTGCCGTCCCCAGGAAGATAAACATGAGATAAACCTGGTATTTTGTCTACATCTTTACAACACATTCAAATTCCCTGTTTTGGGGGAATTTGAAGTCGCCATTTTAGCAAGCACGATGAAAATGCGAAAAAAATATGTTTGAAAAGTGGCGCAGGTGTATTCTTAAAACGATGGGGAATATTGAACAAAAAAGCACTGAAGCCAGTTTCTACGATAAACACAACCAAAGCGAATGCACAAAATCGGTGTAATTTTACATCGATATCATTGATGCATGTCACTGAAAGGAAAACCACGTGTTTTGAAAATACAGTGGGCGCAAAGTTATCTGCAAATTAATCGTATTACATATTAAACCGTTTTAAGCCGTTATCCTAAAAACATTACCTTTTTCAAGCTGGTGTTGTTAGACAGAAACCTAATTGGGTGCCAAATCTGAAAAGCATGAAATGGCATCGGAGAATCAGAAATTAAACCAATTCGTCATCAAATCCACTAAAACAGCTGATCTTTTTTTTTTTGTTCCGCAAACGTGCTCGTTTTCTCATTGTGTACTTGCTTGTCATTTCATGTCTGCGGTAGCGCAGTTTGGTGCCATGGGACTACATTTGCAAAAGTGAAGCTGTATGCAGCGATATTCCGTGGGTTTCGTTGTGTTTCCTGAAGTTTTTGTTAATTTTGTATTTGCTACCAGAAAAAGCTCCTGTCTGTTATTGGCTTCGTGAACAGGGCTGTTGCGTCCAGATGAAGGGCATGGGCATATTACACGGAAAGTTGTGATCTTGTGTGTCAGGAGATTGGGAGTTTCCCCGGACCACGGGTGAGCGCATATCGTAATCAGCGTATCAGTTTGTTTGCTATCTTTCTATATGGGGTTGGGAAATGTAATATTTCACAGTTACAATGCAACGCGAAGTGTAAGGCTGGCAGCAAACAATAACATACACCCTCGAGGGTGTCTCGCAGATGTTTCTTCCGGCCAAGTTCGGTCACTTCGATCCGCAGAGCTGCTGCACCCACGGTTCATATTCCAGATCAGACGGAAGCAGAACTTGCTCCAGAACAAATGGAAGCAGAAGTGACCTATTATATTTTTGCAACCTGCGACCAGTGGAAACGAGCAGCAATCCAGCTGTGCGATATATCTAGAGTTGGTATTCATTATTGCGAGATTTATGTACCTCTTGTCATGACGGCCTGTTGTACATTAAGCTTCACCTAATTGTGGCAAGTATTCGAATAATGTCTATAATGCTCGAACCTCAACTGATATATTTTTCGACTCCATTACCACTGCTGAGTTTGTTAGTTCCAGACGAATTCCGGTGCATGCTTCTATTGTGTGAAACGCTTGGCCATAAGTTTAATACCATCTCTTTTGAGCCCTATTTTAAATGCAAAGGGCGTGGCCATTTACGAGTAATGTCACCGCATGTACTGATAGCAAGCACACAAATCCACCTCTGGCGTTTGGCGATTGTTATTCGTTTAGGAATATGATGCTAACAAGAAGAAATATAAATTCTTGTAAATCATAATTTACATAACATGATGCCTCATGGCATAATGCCTCTTATTTGTTGGTATCGCCCTTTCAACGGCGACAGCAACACAAAAAAAGAGATTCTACCTCTGCTTGTCTAGATCTACCATCGAATTCTAGCACGTGTTCCCGCTGCTGTGAGTGCTAATCCGTTTCTATTACGAATCAACAAATTGTGATGGTGAAACATACTCCTGGAGCACTTTCCAAACTACCAATTGACATCCTAAAACGTTAAAAGGTACTATCTTCAGAAACACTGTCGTTTTCGTCTGCCCGTTGGCCAACGCCTAGGGTTAGACGCAGGAGTGGCACCGCACCGGAAACTGCAATGCTGGTCGTCAGGTTCGTTGTGAGAGTTGCGAGCGTGCATGGCCAAAACTGCGCTATGTGATGCTGCCACTGCTCGATCCTGAACAAAGGTGATCATTCTGAGACCAAAACAGACTGATATGAATGCAAACTTATGACCCCATTTCGATTTAGGATCTACGTGCACAAAATCCTGCATAGTCCCAGAGTGCTATCGGCTTAGAAAGAGCCCACTGAAACATTGTGAAATGAAAAGCACCGGTGGTCCATTGAACGCAATGGTTTTACGTCTATTTCCTTCAGTTTATTGACTGCAAAACACAAGCAGAAATGCGTCTGTCGGTGCCTTCCGGCCTTTAGGAGGGACAGGGCTCCCTCAAAATCAAGTGGGCCATATCTGGCGGCGTATTCTTTATTGGGTGGGGGCCTTTTACCGGTGGGGGGAGGGCTGGTTAGTTCTGTGTCCCGCCTCACAGTTACCAAGATTCTGGCTGTGCCACTGCGTGGGTAAGCTCAGTTAGCACCGAAAATGCGTACGCAAGTACAATCACATGATAACTGAAGAGCCAGCTCGACTAGCAATGCTGTCACAATCAGCCTGCATTGCACATGACATTGAAGTGACGCGTGTTTCCTTTTTCACACGTTCGAAGTGAAGCGGGTGAGGGTCGCCTTTTCTTCAGTGGCACGATTGCTTGGAACAGTGTCTTCCAGACGTATAGCTGGCTCGCAATTCGCGTTTATTGAAAAGAGCAGGGAAAAGGGATTCTTAACAGAAGAGCACCTGCTTAAGCGTATTTGTGGAAGGGTTATAGCTCACGTTCTTAAACTATGTGTGGAATCAACATTAACAATAATTAACATGAACTGGTTAGCAATCATATGCACTAAAATACATATGCTTCATCGATGAAAATTTGCCGCGACGAAATCCTGCGTATAGATTGGTTGTGATAGCCGCATACTCTTCTTATGAATGAGTGAATAAATACACAACAAATTATCTCGCACATAATTGTAAACTATGAACCAATTTGCGTTTGCGGTGTGCAAGGGAGAGCTGCAACTGCACCCCTTCAGCTCCACAGAAACAGTTGCATTTATAATGTGATGCAATCTACAATGCCTCGTGTATGATTACTGTTGCTACACATATCAGGTTAAGAAATATATATATATATATATATATATATATATATATATATATATATATATATATATGTGTGTGTGTGTGTGTGTGTGTGTGTGTGTGTGTGTGTGTGTGTGTGTGTGTGTGTGTGTGTGTGTGTGTGTGTGTGTGTGTGTGTGTGTGCGTGTGTGTGTGTGTGTGTGGAACGGAGAACCGGAACATAAGGCACGAAATCCGAGCAGCTTTTCGACCCATTCCATTATTCCGACCTCCACGGATCTGCTGCCCCCGGATCTACATCTGAACGCACCGTTCTCCTGCCGCGCACGAATGGCAAGTGACTCTAAGATACATATCACAGTCGCTAGATGTCTCTGCTTGCTGCATCCCATCCCCCAGCTACTCGCTACCGCCATCTTCGATCGGTTTAGAACCTCTAATTCACGCTATTTGAGGCTGAGCTTTTCAAAATGACAATCCCTGCATCTCGAGCTCACGCACTGTATGGTGATGCCGCTTACGCAGTATGTACGTGCGTGTACGTAATCACGCCCGATGCGAAACCGTGCTCCAACGTTATTTTTGTATCATATCCCTGCAGATGGCCCACTGCAAGCAAGCTTCGCAATCCGCCAGCGCCACCTATAGCCTAGACCGTCTGAGAGCTCATCATCCAGAGGGCAGAGGCGCTGCGGGCTGGCGGACGCGGTTCGGATGCCTACCGCGCCACAAACCGCATACCAAAGGGAGCACGACACCGGGACCCCCTGCTGCCTGCCGCCTCGGTCTGCCATTGCTGGAGGAGAGTGCAGCAAACGAGTCTCCCTATATCTGCGGTGGAGGACGGAGCCGTGCCAAGGTTTCCCGTTGCACGCCGCCGGGTTCCGTCACTGCCTGTTACCTGTCAT